AGTGTGTGGAGGTCCATCATGCACTGCCTGGAGAATGCTACAGGTCCGTCATGCACTGCCCAAGGGAGTGTGTAGAGGTCCAAATCATGCACCGCCCGGGGAATACTAGAAACTCCATCATGCACTGCCCAGGGAAAGTGTATGGAGATCCATCACGCAATAACTTGGGGCCTCCAAATTACCCTCCTCAAAAAAACCAAAACCCGCTTTTGGGGCGGGGGCGTCAGTCTGCAACTTGTCTCCGAGCCGTCACCTGCGTGCAGACGTGCACCGCCTCAGACACGCGTCTTCCTTGCGGGGGAGCCCCGCTCGGCTCCCTCGGGCCGAGAAGAGGCAAAAGGGGGTTGGGAGCGAGCCCTTAAACGAGCCCCGCCTTCTCCGCGACCACCCCTCTCTAACTCCCGGAGGAGGGCCGAATTAACACACACACCCCAGAACCCGCGTGTAACATCTACACCCGCCGACACGCGTTGCCGCCCCTCGCGCCTCACCTTCACCTGCCTTCTGCTTCAGCCGGGAAACGTCAAGAGGGCGCGACGGGAGGTGACGTCACGCCGGGCGCGACAGCCACTCCCCTTTGCCTCCTGGGAATTGAAGTCCGGCAGTTGTTTATAGTCGGTTTTTTCCCCCTCCTTTTTTAATGTGGGGATGAAGGGAAAAAACAGGGAACGGAGACTGTTTGAAAGGCCGTGTGTTTCCCTCTCCTTGGCTGGTGTTTTGCAGGGGATAGAGATCTACTCTGCACATGCTCTGGATTCAATTGTACTGAGTCCAATCTCTCTCTCCCTCTATCTGTATAAAAGCGAAATACTGTCTGCAAGGAGTATAAATCCTTCCATTCCTCACTATTCTGTCAGAGCTGAAGAAGCTTCTTGGATGAGAAGTGAAACGTCTTCAAAGGAAAAACCAGGAAGTCCAGTTGCCTCCTGAGGAAGCACCTCTGGGAGAACAGTGACTGGATGACTGAAAATCTCCTACTTAAGTCTGCTCGGATAACTCTATTGAATTCAGAAAGGCTTACTCCTGGGTAAAGCAGCAGCTTTAATGGGGCTGGATGCAGCAGGGCCCCGCCCCATGCCTCTGCTAATCTCCAAATCCACACACAGAACAGTAAATATAATTTATCTCCCAGTTATAAGTATTTTTATATTGAACTGGTTATATTATTTTCCTATTGCAATTTCACAACATTTCATGAAGGCACACAAATTATAGTATCCATAGTCCAGCTTTGGCTTTTCAGCAAGACCCCATTTTATCCTGGGGCCCGGGGCAGAGGTTGGTATTCAGCAGGTTCTGACCGGTTCTGGAGAACTGGTAGCGGAAGTTTTGAGTTATCCGGAGAACCGGCCAATACCACCCCTGACTGGCCCCGCCAACCCCATCTCTTCTCCGCCTCCCATCGAGTCCCAGCTGATCGGCTGGGTCTTCCTTTGGTTGCCCTGCACAGGAGAACGGAGCTGGAAAGCAGGTTAGTGGGGAAGGAAGGGGGATTTTGCACTATCCTTCTCCTGCCACGCCCACCAAGCCCCGCCCACAGAACCGGTAGTAAAAAAAAATGTGAATCCCACCAAATATTTACTTAATGACCTTCTTCCACTACAGGCTGAGAAAAAAAAAGCAGGCAGGCAGGCTGGCTTTTGGCTTTTGAAAATAAAACTCTTTAATGTTGATTGTAAAAAAAAAATATATCTCCCAGCAAAATCTGTACAACTTGTGCAGAAGAAGCAGGTGCCTGAAGAAGTGTGTGTGTGTGTGTGTGTGTGTGTGTGTGTGTGTGTGTGTGACTTTTAAATAAATACACAGATAGAAAGCTCTCTGCTTTGGCATTGGGGCCCTTGGTGCCTTTGGCATTCCCGAAAAAAAAAATGCTTGGCTTTGCTTCCTTTGCCCGGCTTCCCCTAGAAATATAAAGCTAGGATGAACAAGGGATGCGACGAATTTTCTTTATTATCCTCCTGAAGGAGTGTTGAGGCCTGTCGACCCCTCCAGCAGCCGAATCAGAGGAGGAGGAGGAGGAGGTGTGGGAGTCAGGGACACCATCAGGGCAACCTGAGAGCTCTGAGGGGGAAGAGGGAATGGAGCTGGCAAAGAGAGAGAGAGAGAAAGAGACACAGCCTGGGCCGTCCGTCACCCCTCAGATGGAGAGTCAACAGCCCCCAAGTCTGGAGGTGGCTGATGAGGAAGAGGAGGAACAGCCGGGTCCAGTGCCTGACGCGCAGATGCACAGAAGGCAGAGGAGAGGAGAGCAGTGGAAATCTATGGGCCGGCCGGTCCTTGGGCTGGAAGAGCCACCGCTGCTAGCGAAGCCCCATCCTAGCTCTGGGGATAAAAGGCAGCGGGCGGAGATGCAAAGATGTGGCAGACAACTATTCATTTCCCTGCCGGACAGACTCGTTACCTTGCAGTGAGAGAGAAACTGTTTGCCGGGGCTGCCGACGCTCCTAATTAAAGGAATCGTTTGAGTTCAGGGGATTTGTTGTGTATGGGAAACTGCGTCAGATCAGGGATCCTATTTCCAAGTCTTTTGTAGCAACCGACCCCATGTGCCATGTAAACTTTCCAGTGATGGGTTTTAAGAGGCTCTATTCCAGGGGTGTCAAACTCAAGGCCTCCGGGCTAAACCCGGCCTGCGGGGTGCTTAGATCTAGCTCACAGGGCCACCCTGGAAGCAGCGAAGGACCGGCCCGCGATGCCTCTGCCCATGAAAACAGAACACGACCTCCCATGCTCTGTTTTCTCTGGCAGAGAGCTGCAGGAGGCTGTTGCAGGGCACGGGGAGGCCCCCAGGCGCCAGGGGAGGGAGCTGGGGCTGCCCCATTTCGGCTGGCAGAGGGCTATTAAAACAAACTAAAACCAAAAAGAGAAATGTTTCATTTAAGTATCCAAGAAGGGACAGGAAAGGAGAAAGGAAAGACGAAGGAAAAAGAAGGGAAGATGGGAAGAGAGCAAGGAAGAAAAAAGAAGGAAGAAGAAAGGAGAAGGAAGGAAGGAATGAAGGAAGGAAGGAAGGAAGGAAGGAAGGAAGGAAGGAAGGAAGGAAGGGAATGGAAAGATGAAGAAAAAGAAGGGAAGATGGGAAGAGAGCAAGGAAGAAAAAAGAAGAAGGAAGAAGAAAGGAGAAGGAAGGAAGGAAGGAAGGAATGAAGGAAGGAAGGAAGGAAGGGAAAGATGAAAAAGAAAGGAAGATGGGAAGAGAGCAAGGAAGGAAAAAGAAGGAAAGGGGGAAGGAAGGAAGGAAGGAAGGAAGGAAGGAAGGAAGGAAGGAAATGGAAAGATGAAGAAAAAGAAGAGAAGATGGGAAGAGAGCAAGGAAGAAAAAAGAAGAAGGAAGAAGAAAGGAGAAGGAAGGAAGGAAGGGAATGCAAAGATGAAGAAAAAGAAAGGAAGATGGGAAGAGAGCAAGGAAGGAAAAAGAAGGAAAGAGAGGAAGGAAGAGGGAAGGAAAAAGAAGAAAAGGAAGGAAGGAAAGGAGAGTGTAACGAGACTGAGGGAAGTCCTGCCTTAGCCCTTGGCCACCACAGGTGGCCCCCAACACGAGTGATGCCAAGCTGGCCATGCGCACCAACGAAAACCCTGGTGCGGCTCTCAGTGAAATCGAGTTGGACACCCCTGCTCTATTCCATCAGGAGAGGAAACGTGTGAATGTGCCCTTTTGGGTCCTGGCCTGTCTTAGCCGCCTCCATTGGAAGGAAAAAAAGGTGGAAACGCAGGTCTCCTTCCCCCGAGGAGGCAGGTAGAAAGAAGGTGGGCGCTGGTCTCCGCTGGCGGAAGGCAGCGGGTCAGGCGGCTCCGGCTGGCTGGAGTTGGGGATGGACAGGATCCCGCGAGACCTTCAAGGGGTCCTACTGAATCTAGGCCATCTCTCTTGCAACCAAGCGGCCTCCA